TTCCCTTACACCCACTCCAGAAGTTCAGAATATTAACAATTGTCCAGATCCCACCAGATTGAGGGTTTTGCAATGCAAGTCCACAGTGAGAATGTTGTATCCGCCACGACAAGAAGGACAGCAAGAGGAGTTGAATTCAGAAGAAATAATGTCTCATTTCACACAGAGCAATGAAATGAGTTTGACCCATTATTCTTACTGGTACCCGTCAGTGGAGATTCGCCATCAGGTTCATTCCTACTAGCAGGATTCAGCCCAAGTAGCACCTCATCCCCAGGGGTGTTTGTGGCATGAGTGACACCTGCAGTGCCCTGTCCGTGTTCATTATCTGAAGGCAGAGGTGGCTGAGTTGGGTCTTCTTGATGGGCACCATCGGGAGAGGTAGCCGCTGTTACGATGATGATTTAATCAGTTTTGTATTGAACTCATTTGCAACCAACACCCTCCCATTCTATTTCTGTCATGTTCAGGTCTTCTGTTGCCCTTGAAAGGGGATACTTTTCACTATTGCTCTTTTCTCATCACCAAAGGAGAAAAAAAAAGGGACATTCTATCCACCCACACATCACGGAATCACGGAATCATGGAATGCTTAAGGCTGGAAGGGATCTCTAGAGATCATCTAGTCCAACCCTCTGCTCCAGCAGGGACACCTAGAGCACGTGGCACAGGGTAGCATCCAGGCAGTGTTGGAAGATCTCCAGAGAAGGAGACTCCACAGCCTCTCTGGGCAGCCTGTTCCAGGGCTCTGTCACCCTCACAGGAAAGAAGTTCATCATCACTACTTTCTTAACTTTAGAACTAGCTACTTTATTTTGCTATTTTCATTCACTGTGTGACTTAATCTTCAAGATTTCCAAGGTCAGCGGATTCAGAAAAAGGACAGTAAGACAGTAATTAGGGGAGCTCCCTTACATGCATCACAGACTAACTGCAAATCTTCAACTTCAGGAGAAAACTTTTTAACTTTTTCAGCATCAGCTAATATTGTATAATGGTAGGAACAATGAAGACACAAAAAAGATGATCCAAGCACTACATGAAAACCGTACAAGAGATTTGGCCTAGTAGAGAGTTGACTCACAATGTCCTAAGATCTAACAGACTTTCTGAGTAAGAGAGTGTTATAGTTCCCTCTTATTTTAGCACAGAAAACTAACATGTTTCTCATATCATGCTTTTAGAACATAATTGGCACAAAGGGCATGTGCTATACCAGACTGGATTGTGGATGCCTGGTAGAATTAAATACTGTTAATTTTTTAAATTCCGCTCTCTCACCACGCTAACAGTGATTCTGGACAAGGGATTAAGTGGTTTGATATATATGAAAAGAACACTCCTTTCAATTTTTTTCACGGATTGAAAGCTTAAACTTATTATTGTACAAAGTCATGCAGGATTGTTCTAAAACAAACTGTCATTAAATAGATGAAACTGATATTACTTGTACCTGTACTGGAAGACTGTTTTTCATGATCATTCCCTCTGGAAGAAATAATTCTATCCATAACAGTTGGTTGTACGGAATAAACATCTCCCTCTTCCCAACCTGGATACACCAATGGGTCTTGCGTTGAGTCATTCTGTTTGGCCCCGTAATCGGAGGCCATAGCTGTTATGATGATGGTGAAGCAATTATGAACTCAGTATATAAAGATCCATTTCTCATATTATTCTCCTCTTCGGTTCTTGTCTCTATGACAGGGCTTGCTCACATGTCTACTACATTTAATGGTAAAGAGAAGTAAAGCAGATTTTCTTCTCATTCTCGTTTATAATTAGAAAAGATGTGTACTGTCACCAATAGGACTGAATTCTTTCTCATTTTTTTTTCAGAATCAAAGTACCTATTGGTTTTCAAAAACATTTCCCCAAATCCTGCTGATTTTCATGACTTTGTATCAGTTGGATATCGCACCCTGTAGGTAGGTTTTTAATCACAGAATTTGAGTATATTGACTATGCCCATTTTTTCCTCCTCACAATTTCACTGCCTTATTAGTTACAGCCTCTTTATGAAAAGAAATAAAGATGTTTGGCAGAAGAGAGGGCTATCACATGCATCAGATTTGTGAACAGTGCAAACAATGTATGAGACAGCATTTCTGTGAGAATATATGATACTGCAATTTTTTAGAAAAATAAAATATTGCCCATATCAATCATTCTATACCTTTCTGTAGAAAGTAGAAAAAGAGTGACCAATTCTTTTGAATAATATAACCTTAACATTGATGAAACATCTAGGATTGCTACCTCAGCGGAAATGCGGACTAAAATCTTCTAAAGCAGTGAGCTACCCAATAGCTCTGCTAATACGACCACATTTAGCTGAGCGAATAGATTCACATAATAGACCATCCCAAATAACGTTTACGATATATGTGCCTTCAGTGGCCTGTGTTTGACAACCAGCAAGAGCTGGCGATGACTGTTTTAAATTCACCGTTGGCAGCACTTAGAAGAGCACATCAGTCACTAATAGGTAAACATAAAAACTACACATGGGACCAGCATTTTTTAATTTTATTATAGTATAGATTTGTATTAATCTTTAGTTGTTGCTCTTACAACAAAATTTGTTTTTTTACAGTTCAACTTCTTTGACTAACGGAGAAGCTTTTTCTTTTATCCTATGCTATGCTTTGTTTTCTTTACTTCTTCACCAGTATCATGTAGTCCAGAGATGGAGGAAATAGACATTTTTGGAATCTTATTTTTACTTAAAATTTTCATATCAACAAAATCTGTAGAAAGCAGGTGCAGCAATGACTTCACTTGTAACAGGGGTGTGATCACAGCTCACAAAAATACAGAGACATTATTATTTTTCAAATTAAAATTAAAATGTTTACTGTTTCCTGCAAATATAACCCTATTATATAGCCTCATACAATCTCGTCACTGTATGACACAGAACAGAGCATGTAAGAGGTGGTTACAGAATTAATGCACTATAGGTCTTGGCACACAGTCCAAATGGGGGAAAAAAACAAATATCCAGGACTGAGCCTAATGAATAGAATAATTTGTAAAATATATAATACAAACTCCAGATCTGCATCACTCAGGTTTATTCATAGAATCTCTATTATGGCCTCAAAGTGCAAATGTGCTAGTAAAAGAAACCCTCTAGCTAAAACATGATCTTTCATATTACCTGTATGAGAAGATTCTGTTTCAATATCATTTTCACCTGGAAGAGTTAATTCATGTTCTTCAGTACTCCCGATGGTACTTGCAGTACTTTGTTCTTGACTGATCCATCCAGGATGAACACTGTGTAATAGTGGATGTTGGGTTGGTCCTTCGTGTTTTTCATTTTCGTTTGTGACTAGTGCTGATAAGATGATGACTGAATCAATAATAATCATAATATCTGACCCCAGACATATTAATCTCATCTTCATTTTTGCAGTCTACACAACAAGAGTTTGTTGGGGCTTTATGTTTTGTTTTGTTTTCTTCTTTTAATTGTTATATTTGGTGTGAAATGAAAAATGAGAGAAGCCATGCCTACTTTGTAATTTCTACCCTGCAAAACTATTGCCATGAGCAGGAGATGCAAGTTTGCTAGAAGGTGTCCCAGTTACCAATGATAGAAAAAGGCTACAAGAAAAGTAGTGGAAGAATGCACAGAAACAACAGCTTGCACCTCTAGTTCATAATTGTTATACTAATTTAGCTCTTAGTCTGTGGCTTCTGGATTTGTAAAAGAAAACGAATTTTCTTTTTGGAGATAATATGTCTTTGCGCAATTCAACGCTGGTTCCAAAGAAAATGCCATTGCTTCTGGTAGCGGTTGGATTTGGTTAGATGAATGAAAATAAAATGGAATCTTACATTAGAAGCTGAAAAGCATACTTGTTTTGATATTCAGTAATAATTAGAGCTCTCACTGATAAAATAAATTCATTGTTCACTGTTTAATTGGCTGTTGTTTACATGCCAGAAGATGAAGTCAGAAAGCACTCGAAGTACCGCCACCATAAGAGATTTCCTAATGAACATAAAAACGCTTTGAAAAGATACACCAGGGGGGAAAAATGCCTGTAATACTGCAATAAGCATCAGAACTCTATTTTAAAAATATTTGCATATGTGCTAACTTCACTGATCCCAGCCTTTCAAAACCATGAAAGAACTGTTTCAAGCTGTTTGAGACAGATCCTATAAAGTCCAGAAATTACCACAGAATCTAGATTTTTTTTTTACAGAAGGATAAGAAAGCTTTCCTGAAGTCCCACTAAAATATATTCCTTGTCACTATAATCTAATGTTATGTATTACCAGGCTAGTTTCAAATCAAGCTGCACACAGCTGTGCCCCTAGCTATTCAGTTTTACCCTGCTCTTAACAGGGTGAAGAAACACCCTTAAAAAAACTCATATTCAGCTATGCTTTTTTTTTTAATTAAATCTGGAAATTATTTACATACATAGCAAAAATAGCTGGTGAATGCATTGGTCTTTCCTTCAAGCCTTTTGGCTTGAAGAACATTAAAACATTTTCAAAATCTCATTGGGATATCAACACTAACATGAGTAGGAAGGTGCTGAAATGTTCACATTCATCTGGAGGTAGCATAGTGTCCTTTGTAGTACAGTTGAGAATGCTATATTTACTATTCCTTTCAAAATGAAGGCCAAATCATAAAAAGTTCCTAGGTCACATCTTCCCTGTAAGACAACTGTTCAGCATTAGTTGGATACATTTTAACCTAACTTTTGGCAAATTACTAAAACCACTATTATCTCTAACTTCACTTTGGGTCTCTAATATAGGCTGTGAAACCAATTGTGTATAATGTCATCTTTATTGTCTGATAAAAGCCTATGTTTCAATCACCAAACTTGAAAATTCTGCTTATAGGCAGTTGACCAGATAGTCTGATTAACTCACAACAAATAAGGCATCAGAAAAAGCGGGCTATTTTCTATTAAGCATGCCATTCTGAACTCCTGTTGAGCAAGAACTGGAA